TGAAGCACATAATCAAAATCCACAAGCTCTTCCTTGATCCACAACCTTGCACCAAACTCCTTCTTCTTGAATAAGAGCCAAAACACACCAAGATGCACACAATGAGCTCAAAAACACCACCATGGAGGCTAAGGGACGATTTCTATGGTTTTGGGGACTTGGAGGAGGGTAAAGAGGCCACTTCTAAAGACTTAATGTGCTTATATAGGGTACAACATCAAAAAATAGGGTTTTCATTTACCCTTCGTACGCCCCGCGTACTCCTCGTACGCCAAGCGTACGATGTCTCACACCCCCGAACCAACCCTCGCAGTACACTAAGCGTACACTACATTACGCCTTGCATACCACCCTTCGCATCAGTACGCCCCGCATACTCCCTAGGTACGTCCCGCGTACTAGGGTCTCCTCTTTAACCCTTAAGCACTCCGAAGGCCATAACTTCTTCATTATAATTTCGATTCCGACGATCCTTATATCCATGAAAAGGTAACAAGAAGCTCTACGCTTTATTAAACTCATACCTGCCTTACAATTTCCCGAACAAACATCCAATTCCCATAAAAGCCCGAGCTGACATATTAACAAAATACCCTTTGGCTCCAAAGCACAAACTGAATACCCGGATCATCCAAATTACATCACCCACCCCCAAATGAGTCCAAATCTCAATTCTTCAAGGGTCCTAAGCCTGCTAATACCCTATACTTGATCACCACCCTGGAATGGGAAACGATTCGAAACAGGGTGTTACAAGGAGTCTCCGATGAAGATCGAGTTCGTAAATCGAAGGTTAGGACTGAAGGTCCAACATAGAATGAAGAGCGAATGCATGTTTGAGCACCACCAGCAATTAAGAAGTCCAAGGGTTTAATACTCATTAGGAAAGATATAGGAGTTACGATTATTGCTTAGGATGGAAAAATCACTGCACGATCATTATCCAGCCCTATTTGCTGATGATTTTGGGACGTAATCATCCTAATGGGGAGCTAATTGTAACGCCCGCAGATTCATGCTAGACATTTAAGATATAATAGATAATCTTAGCTAAATATTTAGTATCCATAATGACTATCTCGAAGGTATAAAGGAGCGCTTAAATCCGAATTTGTATGAAGAAGTTATGCTTCTTCGAAGTTTTGCGATTAAAATGACACGGTTATGTGTGTCGTAAATAGTAAATCGGAGATAGGTTGGTTATTAGCCTAAGTAATCTAAACAAAATTTGTAGTAACCGTAAAGGCAAACTCATTCATATAGAGAACGTCCAAATCTGATTTCATATGAGGAAGTTATGAGTTTTCGAAGTTTCAGTATCGCAATGTGCAACACGGAAACCGAATTTTAGATCGGTCGATTATTAGGAAAAACAATCTAAATTATAGTTGAAGATCTTGGGATTAGGAGTCTGTCGATATAAAGGCATTCGATAACGGATGTCGTATGAAAGACTTATGATTTTTATACAGACTTTAACAGTTTAAGCCTATTAAAAATATAACCTTCAAAATAGAGTGAGAATTACTCAACATAGTCTAAATGAAAGTTGTAGTACTCATCGATAGCTACGCGTGGATATAAAGAATGTCGAAAACAGAGCTTGTATGAGAAAGATACAATTTTATGAAGTTTTTCAAAAAGCGTCATGCGTAGGTAGGCATGGCGCACGCTTCTAGAAGGTGGGGGCGTGGACCACCAGTTGCTCGACACGTGACAACAAGTTGTGAAGCAGCCCCGTTTCTCATATTTCTCTCTCAAACAATTTCCTAGCCTTGAGTACAACTTTTTCCGGACTTCGGAATATTTTAGCTAGGCTCTAGAGTAGCTAGGATCCTGAAGAATAGAAATATTCGGGTCGGAGTTATGCCCGTACAATTTCCCAGTTTTTGCTAAAATATCTGGAAGTTAAGTTGCACCTATCTTAATTCAAGTGTAACTTATATTTATATTCATAGTCGTTATTATGAATCTATAAATAAGATTTCTCAATGATTCCATGTCATAATACTGATTGATTTACTTACGGAAATGATGTCTAGGCTAGATTTAGTGAGGTGTTTAAAGTGGGATTTCCAAACAGTATACTATGTATACCAAACGGACCCTACCTTCGATATGATCTTACAAATTTATTCCTTTCTTGATAGATCTTGATGTAGAACTTGGGATTAGTGAGGAATCTAGGCTATCTTTAGTCACCAGGAATATAAGATTTAGACTTAGTGATGTGATTACCTAGGTCACATCACAGGAAAAGCTAAAGTGCTAAGCAAAGTACTGCCCGAACTTTACGTCGTCCACTTTTAATAAGTGAGTTCATAGTTACTTTTAACTTACACATAGAAAAAAGTATTCTAATTTCTTAAATGTTATGTGTGTTGTTTAGCTGTGATTAATATATCTATGCAACATGATATAGCTATTACTTGATTAAACTATATATTTATCAGACTTCAAATATGATTGGGTAACGAAGGGTTATGTGAAATAATAAATGAGAGACCATGATAGGTTAGTAAAGGGTCGTGTGAAATAATAAAAGAGAGGTCATGATATGTTGGTAAAGGAATGAGTGAAATAATAAATGAGAGGTTGTGATAGGTTAGTGAAGGTTTGTGTGGAATAATAAGTTGTGACCTGTTGTGCTCACTCAAAGTACTATTGAACTGTTGTTTCTAGTCATCTAGGAATGTATTAGTTAGTATAAGGTTGTGCGAAATAATAAGTTGTGACCTGCTGTGCTTACCAAGAGTATTATCGTACCGATGTGCTCACCTAAAATACTATTGTACTGTTGTGCCTAGTCAGCTAGGAAATTATTAGTTAGTAATAGGTTGTGGAAATAATTAGTTGTGACCTGTTGTGCTCACCAAAAGTATTACCGTACTGTTATGCTCACCCAAAGTACTATTGTATTGTTGTGCCTAGTCATATAGGAAAGTGTTAGTTAGTAAAAGGTTGTGCGGAATAATAAGTTGTGACCTGATGTGCTCACCAAAAGTATTATTGTATTGTTGTGCTCACCCAAAGTACTATTGTACTTTTGTGCCTAGTCATCTAGGAAAGTATTAGTTAGTAAAAGGTTGTGCGAAATAATAAGTTGTGACCTTCTGTGCTCACCAAAAGTACTATCATACTTTTGTGCTCACCCAAAGTACTATCGTACTGTTGTGTGCAGTCATCTATGAAAGTATAGACAATAACCAATGCTGAAAAAGATCCTTTTGGAGAGGTCCCTCGAGATCATTTTTTTAAGATTAGGAAGTGAGGATAACGGGAATGGGTAATTGGGTTATTTGTTTGCTGAAATATATATAATTAAATATTATAATATTACGGGTTTAAAACCTTGTGTGCTCACCAGGTTCCCAAGCTTGACCCACTGAGTTTCTTTGTATCATAGGTAATGGTACCATGGTTCAATGATATTGATGTTGAATATGCTGATAGATTTATGGAATTTTAGGTCATTTAATGTAAGACATATAAAGACTTGTTTATGATTATGTTTATCGATTATGACATCCCAAGCTTTTGAAAATTAATGAAAAATGTTTCTTTGGAAATGATTTTATCTCATATATTTATTATGGGACAAAATTCCACATTTATAAAGAATACTCTGTTTAAAATAAGCATAAAGAAAGTTTTTAACTGGCCGTAAAATTGGGGATGTCATAATGCACCACCTTTCCCTTATTGTGTCTAGTAATCGGAAAACTACCTTAGCCCATCACCACCACCAGTAACCTCAGGGGACCACCACTGCTACCTCTTCATCGGAATAACATTATCATTGTTTATATCTAGAAAATATGCTAACCCGAAAATCCATTCAACTCTTAAATCCATTCAAGAGATCAAATCCATTCAATAAATAAAACACTTAATAAACAAACACACACACACACACATACACACATAGGCACAAACCCATAAATCTGGGTTATATCTTCGCCGAAATATGTAGAAGAAACCCATATGCAACAAATAAATTGATATAGTAGCTTCGGTTTCTTCTGATTTGAAGCCTAATCGAGTTGACCTAGACTCAATTCCATCTAACAAGAGCATGGGCATGGTTGAGTCCTCAGGATTTTCAGATAATTTGAACCCTAATTAACCAAGAGGATTTTATAGGATGCAATAACAAGGAAAAGACGGAAGAGAAGTGTGTGGGGGTCATGTTAAGCGTCAGGTTCCAGAACTCTATTGTTTCAGAAGGATGTAGATGTTGAGGTGGGGGGTTTGGTCGGAAACAACCAAGGCTGCAAGGTAGTGACATGTTTAGGGTTGTTGTGGTCGTCGGACGCCGAACGTGAAATACCAGTTGTTGCTCACATGAAAATGTAGTGGTCAACAAGAATTGATGCATGGAATGGTGGTGGTGGTGGTGGTGTACGACACCGACGATAACTAGGGAAGAATACAAATTACAAATTCGAGAATGGAAGAAGAAAAGCTAGAAAGGTAAACATAAAGGGGTTGTGGGATGGGGGTGGGTTATTTAATTATTTACAAGGGTGGTTTTAGTAGGTGTCCCGGTGTAGCACCGACAACACTTACTTTTTCTGTCTGTAATGGAAATTTTTTAGATTTTTCAATTTTTTTTACCTATTTTTCTTGCATCGGCAACACCTATTTCAACCTCAACAACACATACTATGTATTCTTGTGCCCGTCCTGATTATTTAATATATTTAATAATTAAAAAGATTATAAAAGAAGTCAAAAAATATTATTAAGGGTAAAGAAGCCAGTTTAACTCGATCGGGGACCAAATCCGACACAAAAACAAAATACAAGGACAATCCGAGTTAAAAAAAATATTAAAGACCAAACGTATAAATTAATCCAAACCACAGGGACCATTTTTGTAATTTACCCAAAAAAAATAAATAAATAAAACAAAAAGTCTCCTGACCGGTCGTAAGAAAAATTGAATTTGTATTCTATGGCACTGACGTCGTCAGTGACTTTATAATCTTTCCCTTTCTTCTACATTGCGAGAATCAAACCAAGCTTTCTGCTTCAGTGCTTTGCAACCTTTTAACCTTCAGTATAGTATTTAAAACTAATTAGGTTTTACGAAAACTGAGATCAACAGACAATAATAATGGCGACGGTGATTCCAAAAGTGAAATTAGGTTCACAAGGTTTAGTTGTTTCACAACAGGGATTAGGATGCATGGGTATGTCAGGTAACTACGGACTCCCAAAACCCGAAGCCGATATGATCAAGCTCATCCACCACGCCATTGACTCCGGTGTCACCTTCCTTGACACCTCCGACGTCTACGGTCCACACACCAACGAAATCCTCGTCGGGAAGGTAAGTAACGAAATTCCCGATTGATCGATCAAAATTGTTACCTACAGTTTTAGTCTTTGTCTTAATTTCGAGGTATGTGATGTTGTTCAGGCTTTGAAAGAAGGAGGACTAAGAGAGAAAGTTCAAATTGCAACCAAATTTGCAATCCGGCATGTCGATGGAAAGATGGACGTGTGTGGTGATCCGGCTTATGTCCGATCAGCTTGTGAAGCTAGCTTGAAGAGACTTGATATTGATTGTATCGATCTCTACTATGTCCACCGAATTGATATTCGTGTCCCAATCGAAGTCACGGTTTGTCTCCCTTCCATTTCTCTGTGTTCGAATTTGGGTAAAATAAAACCCATATCAAGTTCGAGCTTTTATTAACACTATCTGTATGTGACAAACGGGAATAAAGATGGGAGAGCTGAAGAAACTAGTAGAGGAAGGAAAAGTGAAGTATGTAGGATTATCAGAAGCATCTGCTTCGACAATTAGAAGGGCTCATGCTGTTCATCCATTAACAGCTGTACAGAATGAATGGTCTATATGGTCAAGAGATTTGGAGGAGGATATTGTTCCTACTTGCAGGTAATCTTTATATGGTTTTCATGTTCTTTTATGATAATCTGAGTTTCTTTGCTTGTTGAATGATGATGATCCGTGTCGTTTGTTTTACAGAGAACTTGGCATTGGGATTGTTCCTTATAGTCCTATTGGAAGAGGATTCTTGGCTGCTGGTCCTAAATTGGCTGAAAACTTGACAGATGGAGACTACAGAAAGGTACACATGTGCATATAAGAATCATTTGATCATTATTTTCATGGGAAATCTACAATAAAGTCCCAATATTTTGGATCAATTTACGGTTTAATCCCAACTTTTATTTTTTGAATAGAAAAGTCCCGATTATTTTATATTTTTCCCAAATTAACGAAATAGTTACTATTTTTTTCAACAGAAAATGACAGATTATCATATAAAATTAGATAATAAGGACTAGTCTGTTCAAAAAATAAATATTGGGATTAAACCATAAAAAATAAATATTGGGATTAAACCATAAACTGACCCAAAATATTGAGACTTTATCGTGGATTTCCCTTATTTTCACAGTATAGTTAAACTGTTGAAACTTATTGCAGAGTCATCCAAGGTTTCAAAATGCGGAACAAAATAAGAGTGTTTTTGAGCGAGTGAATGAGATAGCAACAAGGAAAGGATGCACCCCTGCACAGCTGGCACTGGCATGGGTGCATCACCAAGGAAGCGATGTGGTTCCAATACCTGGAACCACAAAGATTGAAAACTTCAACCAAAACATTGGAGCTTTGTCCGTAAAGCTAACGCCAGAGGAGATGGGGGAACTTGAATTGATTGCTTCGAGTGACATGGTTAAGGGAGAAAGGCATGCGGTCATGCACTTGACATGGATAAATTCGGAGACGCCTCCTTTGTCGTCTTGGAAAGGTAATTGAGTAGTTCTATAAGAAAATATGTTGGCCAATAAAGAGGGTTGAAGACTCTTTCCACTATTGATGTTGAACGAAAAACTAGTGTTTTACTAAAATGTCCAGTTGCTTATAAATGAATTAATGTATTTGCGAATTTTGTAATTCAAGGTGATGTATTTTGTATCGGGACTGAACGTATTATATAATATATATGGCATACTTTCCTTTTATTTTTGTAATATTGTTTGTATCGAGATTTATTGTATTAGGACAAGTCCTTTCGTTTAGATAGAAGCTATAAAAACACTTTCTCGAGGGAGTTTTTAACATAGCATGTAAATTTATAAGATTTTGGTACAAGCTTTTTCAATTATTTTGATTTTCAACCAATTGTAATATAGTCAACTTATTTAAAAAACAATGAAATAATTTAAATACAAAGCGGTAGGTCTCATAAATAAATTGATGAAAACACTCTAATTGGTCGGCCAAAAAAGTTTGAACTTGAATCGGTGGTTCAAAATCTGATAATTTTTAATAACAATAACTTTATATTTTTTGGATTTACCTCTTTCTCACAATTGCCTGTTTGCTAGCCATACATATCAGTCGCCTATCAAGCCCCCGTCAGCCACCTATGTCGAGCTCATTGGAACTTTCAATCCGTCCATTTAGAGTCACTGATGTCGATGATTTCTTCTCATGGGCTAGAGACGATAGAGTAACACAATATCTCCGATGGAACACCATAAAGGATAGAGAAGAAGCTCTTAAATACCTAATGGAAGTCGTTATACCGCATCCATGGCGACGATCCGTCTGTTTTGACGATAAATCAATCGGATACATCTCCGTCAAGCCAGAATCAGGCGTCGATCGTCATAGAGCTCATATTTCATATGCAATTGGTGTCAATTTCTGGGGACGAGGGATAACTACGGCGGCAATGAAGATGGCGATCCCTATGGTGTTTCAGGAGATGTCGTATGTGGTGAGGATTGAAGCTCTTGTTGAAGATGAAAACAAAGCATCACAGAAGGTATTGGGGAAATTAGGGTTTAAAAAGGAAGGTTATTTGAGGAAATATGGATTTAACAAAGGGGAAATTAGAGATATGATCATGTATAGTTTGTTGTCATATGATTTATCAGATCAAATTTGTTAGTGATTGAATATTAGGTTAGTTCAGGGAATTATTTAACTTTAGTTTATGCAAGTTAATCACAAAAATATCAAAATAAGTGGTTATAAGAAAGAAAAAGAAACAAGTATCGATTGTGTGTGTATTGAATATGAACCTGCAAACCCAAAAATGTGTGTGTGTGTTTGTATTGATTTGATTAGTAGGTTTGGTAATGGCTAGCACCTAAAGTCAACAATGAATCCCAAAATAACGAAAGTATCAAGTAGGTGGGGTTTTTGGGTTCAAGCTTGAGACGTGGAGATTTTAAGGCTATTACGAGTGGTTACGCGTGGTTTGGGAATAAAGTAAAGGATTCCGTAGAATAAAGTAAAGGATTCTGTAGAATCTATCGATCTTTCATTGAAAGGGATATGATACATAAATAGGTACAATAGATAACAAGCTACTAAAATACAATATCAATTAAGAGAAATTACAGGGGAAAATATGAGAAACAAATATATACAAAATAATACGTCTAATACTGCCGGCAGTTGGAGCAGGAGGAGGACAGATGCTCAAACTGGTCTTGAAACGATTGAAGAGGTGACGTGGCAGCCCTTTAGTAAAGATATCCGCATACTGATGATCGGTCGGTACATGAATGACACGAATTCTTCCAATTTGAACTAGTTCTCGTACAAAATGAATGTCAATCTCGACATGTTTTGTTCGTTGATGTTGTACAGGGTTGTCAGAAAGGTAAACAGCGGAGATGTTGTCACAATATACGATCATTGCTTTTGTTACCGGCACGTGAAGTTCAAGTAATAGGTTACGGAGCCAGTTTGTTTCGGCAGTGGCATTTGCAACACCTCGGTATTCTGCTTTTGCACTAGAGCGGGATACCGTTGGCTGCCGTTTAGATCACCAAGAGACAAGGTTGTCTCCGACGAACACACAATATCCAGATGTTGAACGACGAGAATCGGGGCACCGTCCCCAGTCGGCGTCCGAGTATGCAGTGATGTGAAGGTTTGAGGACGCGTGAATGTGAAGCCCTTGGTCTGCGGTTCCTTTTAGATAGCGAAGTATTCGTTTGAGGAAATTAAAATGAGGTTCCCGGGGAGCATGCATAAAAAGGCAAACTTGTTGAACGGCATAGGCAATATCTGGCCTCGTAAAGGTAAGGTATTGTAGAGCACCAGCTAGGCTTCGATAAAGAGTACCATCAGTGAACGGTTGACCACAATTAGCACTAAGTTTGGAAGAAATGTCTACTGGTGTGGCAATGGGGTTGCATTCTGTCATTTTTGCTCTATCCAGAATGTCGTTAACATACTGAGATTGCGAAAGGAACAGACCGTGATTGGTACGTGTAACTTGAATGCCAAGAAAATGATGAAGTGTTCCCAAATCGGTCATGGCAAATTCGCGAGAAAGAGTGTCGATGACCTTACATAGAAAGGAATCAGAAGATGTCGTAAGTATAATATCATCGACATATAGAAGTAAGTATGTTGTGTCTTGCCCTTTCTGATAAATAAATAGAGAAGTATCTGTGGCAGCACTTTTAAAACCATGAGATGTGATGTATGTGGCAAAGCGGTGGTACCAAGCCCATGGGGCTTGTTTGAGCCCATATAAAGACTTTCTTAACCTGCAAACAAAGTCGGGGCAGGTGTGATCCACAAAGCCCGGAGGTTGGTGCATGTAAACGGTTTCTGCAAGATTGTCGTGTAGAAAAGCGTTCTTGACATCGAGTTGGTGTATCGGCCATGAGCGAGATACCGCAAGAGAAAGGATTGTGCGAATTGTAGTGGGTTTAACGACAGGGTTGAAAGTGTCGTCACAGTCTAGACCAACCTGTTGAGATTTCCCATTTACCACAAGTCGAGCTTTGTATCTTTGGAGAGATCCGTTTGCATGGAATTTATGGCGAAAGAGCCATAAGCATCTAATAATATGAGCCCCGTTAGGTCTGGGAACGAGTTCCCATGTGTTATTATCGCACAGGGCCTTGTACTCGTCGTTCATGGCCTTATTCCAGTGTGGGTCGAGAAGGGCAAGGTGAGGGTTTTTCGGGATGGGAGAAAGAGTAGTGGTGTGAAGGTTAAGATGTTGAAATGGTTTGGTGATTCCAACACGAGATCTAGTTGTCATTGGGTGAGGCGGGATTGGTGGTGGATGCGGGTTATGATCGTGGTTATTGGTTGAGGGTGATGGAGGTGGGGACGCCGGAGAAGGAAAGGTAGTGTTTTGGTGGGTTGGTGTTGGGGAAGTGCCGGGTGGAGGGGTGGAGAAATGTTCGTATATGGATGCTAGATTTGTGTCTTGGCGAAGGAATTGGTAATCATGGGATGGAGTTTTGGAGAGAGTGGAGAAGGGAAAAACGGATTCATCGAAGGTGACATGGCGAGAAAGATGGATTTTCCCGGTCTCGGGGTCAAGGCAGCGGTAGCCTCGGTAATTGGCTGGATATCCAAGGAAGACACACCGTATGGACCGGTTATTAAGTTTGTGGGTGCGAGTGGCAGAAAGGTTTGGATAGCAGGCACACCCGAAAATACGAAGGTGATCATATGATGGGTTGCATCGATAAAGGGCAGAGGTGGGGGATTGATTTTTGAGGAGTTTGGTGGGGGTAATGTTATGGAGATAGGTTGCCACGTGGAGAGCATCAACCCAAAAATAGGATGGTAAAGAAGCGTGAGTAAGGAGAACAATGATAATTTCATTTAGGCGACGAAGCATGCGCTCGGCTTTACCATTTTGTGGGGATGTTTGAGGGCATGAAAAACAAAGTTGAAGTCCATGGGTAGAGGCGAAATGTTTGAAGTTGTGATTGTCAAATTCACCATCCATGTCACATTGGAAACTTTTAATTTTTGTGTTGAATTGAGTGTGTATAAAGGAGTGGAATTGAGTGAAACGATCAAAGGTCTCAGATTTGAATTGTAGAGGGTATACCCATACATATTGGCTGAAGTTGTCTATTAAAACCATGTAGTATTTGTGACCCGTTTTGCTTGGGACGTGGGAAGTCCAAAGATCACAATGAATTATATCAAATGGTAATATTGTGCAAGAATTGGAATCAAAGAACGGTAAGCGTTTGTGTTTTGATATTTGACAAGAATGACAAAGTAAATGAGAGTTGGTAGTTCTCTTATTACATGAAATGACTGAATTTAAACGTAAAAAATCAAGAATGTTGCCAGCTGGATGACCGAGCCGGGAGTGCCATAGATCGGGAGACATGGAGAGAAGAGCAGACTGAGTGGGAGTCGGAGCTGTGAATGCGTAGAGAGAGCCCGTACTATTGTGGCGAGATAGAATCATCCCACTCTGAAGATCCTTCACAGAAAAGCCATGAGGGTCAAATTCAATGGAAACATTGTTATCAATGGTGAATTGTTTTACAGAAACAAGATTTTTTACAATGTCAGGGGTGAACATGACATTTTTAAGAGTGAGAGGTTTGGGTTTGGATAAAAGGTTTATTTGACCCGTACCCATCACTGGAATGTCATGACCATTACCGACAAGTATAGATTTAATGTGACTAAAATTAGAAAACTGTGAGAGTTTACCCGAATCAGCTGTGAGATGGGAAGAAGCCCCACTATCCATATACCATTGTGAGTCCTCGGGAGGTTCTAGAGTCATGGCTTGGAAGGCATTGCCAATATCAGTGGGTTCAAGGGTATTGAATGTGCCGACAGCATTGTCTTGAGGGGATTCATTGCGAGGTTGCTGGTACCTCCTGTTTTGTTGCCGGTTTGGCTGCTGATTAGTGGGTCGTGGTTGCGAGTACCAGGAGTACGCCCAGCCCTGTTGAGTGGGATAAGGGCACGGGGGTGGCATCATAGCCCACCATGGTGGGTGCATGTATTGACCAGCAGGGACAGGAGAGCTTGAGGCGGCTGATTGAGGCTGAGATTGATTGTCGGGATGAGGGCGTTCCCGACGGTTAGAGTCGCGATGTTGTTGTCGGTTAGATGGAGGGCCACGAGATGGGCGAGGTGGCGGACGAGATGGCTGAGCAGAAACCGTGTTGGCCTCGATTGCTGCGGCAGCGAGACCGGTGATAGATTGGCTTTCTCGAGCTTGTTGTCGGTTGTGCTCAAGCTGAAGCATGTTGCGGGCGGTGTCCCAGTCAGGCAACGTTTGGTTAATGAAGGCAGCAGCAGTGTCGTATTCTGGTGGGAGGCCACGGACCATCTGAAGAACTAGCCGTTTTTCACTGACTGTGTTTTCAACGTCCGTCAGTTGATCTGCAAGATCTTTCAATTTTTGGCAATATTCATCCAGGGAGTTCATTGATCGGAGGGTAAGGTTGGTAAATTCTTGTTCGAGTGCAGCAACTCTCGAGCCTTTGTTGTTGAGAAAAAGATTTTTGATCTTTTCCCATGATTCGTATGTAGTGGAATCAGGTTCAAGAACACGGACAAGAATATCATCAGATAACGATCCATAGATCCATTGTAAAACAATGGCATCGATCTCACTCCACTGGTTGTAATCTGCAGCAGTCTTGGCTGGTGAATTGGTGTCATCGATGTGAGCTAAGACCTTATAACCTCGAGCATGAAGTTTGAACAGCTTTACCCATGACGAGTATGTGACTTTGAAACCATCAAGGACACGAACCTTGTTCTGAATGTTGGTGACAGTGTATACAGGATGCAGGGCATCCTTTGGTGGGTTTGGTTCATCACCAGGCATGACGGAAGACAAGCAAAGGAGAAGAAGCAGCCATGGCTGTTAAAAGGGATTAGGGTTTTCAGAGAAGCTCTGATACCATAAAGGATTCCGTAGAATCAATCGATCTTTCATTGAAAGGGATATGATACATAAATAGGTACAATAGATAACAAGCTACCTAAAATACAATATCAATTAAGAGAAATTACAGGGGAAAATATGAGAAACAAATATATATACAAAATAATACGTCTAATTTAAAGGTGATGCCATGTAGATATTGATGGAGTTCCACACCCAAACCATCGGGGTTGGGGCGGTGTTCACCGGTGGTT